TTTCTAGAGTCCTATGGAGAGAAACACAAGCTCAACATGAGTGTCAGATATCACAAGTACTTGAGACAGGAGTATAGAGTAGTACAGTACTAGAGCGATACAATATGGCGGGAGGTTAGTTGGATCTTACGGGAGGTTTATAGCCAAAGTGGCCGGGTAGACCCGGGAATGGGTAACTGCCTGCAGGACTGCCGGGTGGGTTTAGAACTGTACTAAAAGTAGCTATAAAGTAAATATAAGGGTTTAGGAGTCTATTAGTACCTCAAGCGTGAGGACCCGAGAGCTAGGAGAGCCACTGCGTTGAGGGCAAAGAAGGTTCAGCCATCTTGAAAGTCTAATAATGGTGTGTGTGTTTTTTGGTGTGACTGAGGCAGGAAGGTTAAAAGCAGTGTGGGGCCAGCGTATTTAAGTGACGTCACACGGCTAATTATCGACTTTGAAACGCACCAGTACAGTAAATAACAAAAGGCAATATTAATAACATGGGGTATAAAATTCCATTGGTCAACTATTAACACATGACTTCGTTTTGCTTGCAAACTCCTCACCGGTCCACGCAGCAGCCTTTGGGCCTCTCCCCCGGCTTTCTTGGTCTTTTTCTAGCCCTCCGGTTCATTTTGGAGCCTCTGAAATACCTCGATCAAACGAATTTTATTGAATTCTTGGCAAATTCTTTTGTTCTTCCGCCATGGGTTGGTGGTTGCGGTTTCCGCAAACGCCCACGCGTTAGCTATCTTTGTAGCTCAATTATTAGTGATTGCGTGGGTAGCTCGATGAATATGATTAATAAGCAATATTTGTCATGTGATGTGTTATGATATTACAATCATCTATTTCCTTTAACCTATAAATAGACAAAGAAATGTTGCATTTATAAGCTAAAAGGACAATTCACAAATCTGCAAGTAGTTTTGCCTGCATATTGTACAGAAAAAAATGTAAAAGATCTAGATCTAGTCTATATTTATTATAATTAATTAGCTAATAAAGTAGGGTTGGGGTGTGAATGAAGATTGAAATAAATTTTGCTAAGAGCTAAATCAGTGATGCTGTTATTTTACTTAGTATAATAGTCTTTCTAGAATGCTGCATAGTTTTGTGTATATAGATTGGCTTTTACTTCGCAATACATTTTTAAAATTAATTTCACCAAAAGTTGACCACCATGGCAAAAAACACAAAAAGCCACACCCCATAGACTCGTTTGAATGTTTGGATATTCATTGGAGGTCAATAATAGCCTAGGAAAATCCCTTTGGTTATCCCCTCTACTCTGTATGTAATAATCTCTGTATAAAAGTTTGAATTTAACTACAGCTAAAAATCATTATAATCATGGAGACAGAACACTCTTCAATGGAAAGCTTTGAGGCCGTGGGGGAGAATACAGGAGAAGAAAGTTACACCATTATTGACAGGAACAAGTTAGACAAAGACTTAGAAGATGAGACGGGATCAGACTGGGACTTAGCTCAATCTCTACAGCCAAGCTTAATAAGTATAAAAGATAGTGAAAAGATGAGAAAAAGCAGTCAATCCGAAGATGAAATAGAAAATGAAAAAAGTGACATTTCATCACCTCCATTTTCATTAGTAACTGTACCCCAAGATGGTGGAGAAGCACTCCCTCCAAGTAAAATGGAAACCAAAAGATATGCTTCTTCAAGTTTAGAAAAAACTTCTTATAACAGCATGTCTCAAAGTGTAATGGAAGAGAAAGAGGAGCACATCTCACAGTCACGAGCAAGATCACTTCAAAAGAACAACAAGGACCTTCTTATGCAAAATAAGAAGTTGTCAAGGATGCTGACACAGGAAAAGCAAAAATTAGAAGAGCTTTTAAGAAGCAAAGATAAAGAGATTGCAGTCCTTGTCACAAAACTTTGTGAGCTACAAGATACAAATGACAGCTTGAATGATAACCTTGAAGTCTTGAATACGGAGGTCCGGAATCTAAAAATTGCACTACAAGTGAAAGCAGAAGCTCTTGCAGCTCGCACTGAAGAAGTTGAGTATCTTAACAATGAGAATGAGAGGATGAAAAGGAACCTAGATGAGTACCTTAGAGATATAGAAAAGCTAAAAGAGGAAATAATGAAAAATAAAAGGAGAGAAAATCTAAGAGAGGCATCATCTACAGCAACATCAAGCAGCAGGTCAAGTGAACAGCACTCAAGGAAGCCAAGAGAGCATCATCACCATTCATCCTCTTCTAGTCAGAGGAGAGAACGATCAAGGGATCAACCCCAGGGTGAAGACCATAGCAGGGAGCTAGCAAGGCAGCGTGGGAGTGGTGCAATTAGAGACAGCAGACCTGAGAGGCTTGATGAGCCAAACATTTCATCAAGAGCATATGAAAGTCTAAAAAAAGCATCAGCAATCAGTGTATGTCCTGTATGTGGTGAGGAGAGACCTTATGAGAAAGCAATGGATATGACTAATCATGTTGAAGAATGTCTAAGGAAAAAAGGATACGCATAAGAGTCTAAAAAAAAGGCTCCGGTGTGGCTCAATATTAATAATAGTTTATGCTGCATGATGTGTTTAAGTTTTAGTGAAACTGTAAATTTTATTGTTACAATAACAGTAGTAAAAATACCTAAACGGCAATGGCAAGGAACTATACATCTAAAACTAGTCAGCCATTGACAGGCGAGATTTGCATTACATCAATTGTATGTAACACATTAGCTAATCACAGGCAATAGTCAGCCTTCAGAGGAATGACTTACAAGGAGAGAGAAGCATAACAAGCTGATGACAGTGAACAAGTCAGCATGATATCAACATTACAACATATTAGGGAAGTTTGTTAATTGTCAAAGTCATGACATGCTGTATCATCACAATCCACATAAAAGGTATTAGTACAGCACAACACACACACACACACATACAAACTGAAAAATAAGAGACAACATTCGTTAAAAATTAAGTTTAGAATTGGAGAATATTAGAAATTAGAAAATAAGAATTTAATCCATTGGCACACAATCAGAAGGAACTGTACTAAGTGTGCCCGGGCTGCTGGTGTCTCACAGATTTGTAGAGTCTGTCCCAAAAATATTTCTCACATTGTCTGTGGTCGTCCTTATATCGAGAAAAGTCGAGATAGAAGAGGTGAGACATGAAATCAGGCACTTCACACTTTCTGTACACAATAGGAATGAGAGTATGTCTCTTTGGATCTGTGTGTGTAACAAGAGAAGGAAAGAGAGAGGAAGTGAGAGTAAGGGAATTATCATCAAGTTACTTATGAAAAGGAATAGAAAGAATGTCAGGCTTCAATTAAATGTTTACAGTAGACAATAATGAATACAAACAGTTTACATAACTTAATATCAACAGTAAGTAGACACACCCACAATGACAGACCACGCCCAAATCACCTGGATTCTTATGGTGTGCAAGACGAGCTTCATAATTACACCAAGAGCACTGGTTATAGTCGGGTGATAGGATTATGATAGTTTTGCGACATCCTCTTTTTATTTTATCAGCTACCTCATCAATGAAGGACTGACCGGGCATCAAACCTTCAGATGCAATGTATACACTGATACCAGCTCTAATGTAAGAGAGAGATTAGGGTAAGGGTGTTAATAGCTAGGCATGGGCTCAACTAAAATAGAATAATTAAGAATCGACTGACAATGAGTCCGATAGTGATAAAAGTTTATAGCTTAGCTCATTATAATTCTAGACATACTTTGTCACTTTGAACTATGATGTAAAGTAAACATTAAAGTGCTTCATCATCACTATAACAATTGATGCATATACATGATGCAGTGCTGCTGTTTATGTTAATAATGGAAAATTTAAAAATTCATGAAAAGCTCAACTCTATATGTATGTTTCTATGTAACATAAGTACATTTTAAAAATTTGTAAAAAATTCGTAAAAAATCCAATTTTGATCGGAATCAGCTCAAACTTGCTACACAACATAAGTACATGTATATGCATCAGAAAACATTATAAAATTAAAGAATTCTCACCTAGTCATTTTTGGTGAAATTTGGCCAGTGACCCTGTACAGGGACTTGGGCCCGATTTTTGAGTAACTTAAAAAAATTCATAAAAAATTCAATTTTGATCGGAATTAGCTCAAACTTGCTACACAACATAAGTACATGTATATGCATCAGAAAATATCATAAAATTAAAGAATTCTCACCTAGTCATTTTTGGCGAAATTTGGCCAGTGACCATGTACTATAGTACAGGGACTTTGGCCCGATTTTTGAGTAACTTAAAAAAATTCATAAAAAATCCAATTTTGATCGGAATCAGCTCAAACTTGCTACACAACATAAGTACATTTATATGCATCAGTAGGAATTATAAAAGTGAAGAATTCTCTCTTTTCATTTTTCACAAAATTTGGCCAATGACCGCACAGGGACTTTGGCACAATTTTTGAGCAACATTAGAAAATTTGTAAAAAATTCAATTTTAATCGGAATCAGCTAAAACTTTCTATGCAACATAAGTACATGTATATCTCTACTGGAGGAAGCCCTGGGTATAGTTTCACTAGTTATTAGTACCTATTTATTAATCTTAGTCTCATTTCATCAGCAAACTCAGCATCTGCAGGAGCAAACGACAAGAAAATATCAAAATCGGATCCGTCAATCAATAAACTACGATCAAGATCAGAAAGAGACCTGTCCCTTATCATGACTTCAATACCACCACCATCATCACCAATGCCTTCCTTTTTATTGTAATCGCCATCTAAGAACGATAATAAAGAATAGAAATTAGAAAGAACAAAGAGCAATAAAGAGAATTTTAAAAAAGAATTATAAAAGATGAAATTCAACCTCCAAAAAATAAAGTTACTGTACTTAAGACCTTTCTACACCAGCACTTCTAATGCACATTGAACTGGTTTGGAACCAGTTCCAGTCATTCCACACCTGATGCAGCATTGACTTCAATGCGCATTAAGCCAAACCACCTCCATATGTGGTTTCAATGCACATTCAATAGATAACCAATGGCAGCTGGATCAGAAATACTATCAAAATATACATGATCCTGATGATAGTGTGGAATCACTTGATGCAAATAAGCATTGATGAGCCAACTTCTGGAACTGGTTCAAGTGTAGAAAGGCCTAAAGTTTCTATGATTGGTTGTGATTGATTTACTTTGATGATCAAGAGAGAGAGAAGAGAGTTGTTTCTGTACATGTTCACAATCACTGCTATTGGTGCTAGCACTGCCATTCCGATGTTGTAGGTTAACTGGGTCTACGTAAGGCTTGAGTGAGGGAACACCTAAAAATAAAGAAAAATAAGTCAGTAAACTTCAATATAGTAATAGAAATGACATAGTAGTAATAATAAAACTACAAAAATGTGAGAGAGGATGTGCTTACATGTATAATATTGCATCAGCAAAAAGTAGAGGGCAGAGTTTAATATAACAAAACTAACACGTACCCCAGTAACCTCACGCACACACACACACTCACACATGCACAAAGGTCAATAGACAAACACAGATAAGCATATATACATGTAATTTAGTGACCTTTATGTTTAACGTTCTTGCAATGGTATGTACATGTATATTAACGTCTATTAATTTTAATACTTCTAAGGTAACCAATTGCACATTGACGATCATATTTATGTCCAGTAACTTTCAACGAAATTAGGGCAATCGTAAAATAGCTAAAATTAATGGATAGCAATTATTATTGGGTTTACAGCACATATTCCAGAGAATAGGAGTGATATTCTTACAATGTCTTCCAGCCGGAGCTACCATTGTACTACTTCTCTCCACAGGATCACTTGAAAATGAAGAACAGGAATTGGGTTTAAGTGGAGACAAAGGAGACCTTGGAGGAGGCCTATCATGAATAGATTCTATAGGAGAGACAAAAGAAGGAAAATCTTAATAGACGTGTTCAAGCGTATAAATTAAATCATAGATACTATATATATGATTAAATACCTTAGGGTGGGTATTAATTGCAACACTTAATTTTAGCGTTTTTAGCGAGTGTACTTCAAATCGCTAATTCAACCATTCGCTAATAATAGTTATTATGTACTTGTGTAAACAAGTACACAAGATAGGCAAGATCTGTAACAAGATAACAGTAAATAGGGTGGTCCTGTTAAGTGTTCTGCTCTTAAATGTATAGATTGGGCTTCTTGAGAAGTGTTATGCTATTGAATGGGGGTTTTACCATTGATTTTCTTCCTATTTTCGCTAATATTACATTTCGCTAAATCAGGGTCCCCTTAAAAACGCTAAAATTTAAGAGCGCAATTAATACCTACCCTAAGGTACATCACAGTATCCCTCCACATAATACTCCTTACCCTTGACTTGCTGTAGTACTTGCAGTGCAGATACATTCTCTAATTCCTCCATCATTACTATTAGAGACTCAAGTGTAGCCCCATTACCTTCACGTAACTCCCATTCCTCCAGTAGCGACATCGTGGGAGAATTCTTAGCACGTAACAGCATTACCATCTCATATGTGAAACTATCAAGTGAGAGAGAGAGAAAGAGAGAGAGAGAGAGAGAAGGTAATAGAGGAGGAGATGACATACACTGTACATGTAGGGAGAAGGAGGAATGGTACCCAAACCACAAGTTATTTTTTCCAAAATACAAACTGAAACTCATCACAAAGAGATTATATTACAAAGACATTAAAATACATTACAAATACACAAGGCCAGGACTTCCCATAAGGTGCAATACAAAACAAATACACTTTGCATTTAGTGAATAATAATTTCTTTTAAAAATAATCATAATATTTACCCTTTAAATAAATAATCAAAAATTACGATTAATGCATTTCACCCCAAAAATAAAATAAAAAACACTCAAGACATATACATTACACACTCACCCCATTAGTTCCACCAGGGTCCTCCAATCGGAGCCCAGAACATTCTCCTGGTCTAAGACCTGAGCCAGTTTGTGTCTGGCACGAAACGACAACTGCTGAGAAAGCACACTCATACTAACAAATAGTCCTCAACACTGAGTATAACAACAAAACAAGTAGTAGAGTTTTGCTTTCACAAGGAAAAGGACCCTGTATCAGTGTAGGATCAGTTGGGTCTGAGATCACAGCATGTGTGGGCGTGGCAAACTTGTTTTTGACCACGCCTACCCCCAACTGCAAGTTCCAGCTCCACCCAAAACAAAACTGAAAAGTTGAACTCATCATGGAAGAGGCGATGGCAAGCACAGGCTCTGAAGAGCTACTGAGCGAGATTCCTTCCAGCGTAGGACTGGAGAGGATAGACGAGGACGAGATGGAGGACTCCCCTAGACCCAGTATAGCTGGAAGAACAAAAAGGAGACTACTAGCAGAGGCAGAAGGAGGAGGATTAGCAGACTCACCACTGCTGGGATACGTTATGAGTGCTCATAAAAGCTCTCCCAGGCAAGGAGGAGGAGGAAGGTACCCAGGTAAAAAGCTAACAAAGACACCAAGCATTGGGTACATAGATGCCGGAGCAGAGGAGCTTGGAGCAGTCCCTATGAGAGGGAAGCATCGTCACGACTGGCTCAAGGTTCAAGCAAACACATTCACCAATTGGGTCAACGACAGGCTGAGTGGGTCCCGCTCGAACTACAGTGGAGCACTCGTTCACGACCTCAAGACCGACTTTCAAGATGGCATCCTCATCATAAAATTGCTGGAAGCTCTTACAGGGAAGAAGATACAAGGTGTAGTCCGTGATCCTATATTCACAGCTCAGAAAATATCCAATTTGGACCAATCGTTTGCGTTCATGCAAGAAGAGGGAGTTTACTTCACAGCAATAGGTATTGTAAAACTGTACATTTACTTGTATAGACATTTATGTTATTTTTTCTCTTACAGGGAGTCAGAATATATATGAAGGTAACCTAAAATTGATCATGGGTTTAATCTGGACGCTTATACAGCATTATCAGATTATGAGAAGAAGTAAGTAAAATGATCCCCATGCATACTATAGTATGTGATATGTTCCTTGAAAATGATTAAATCTTTATCAAGCTTAAGGGCACATGCATAACAAACTATTGCATTTGCATGTTTACTAGAACAAAATGACATTCATGAGTTGAAAGTACCAAAAGAACATCAGAAGCCTATACTATTGCTAATGCTAGTAGCATGATTCATAATGCTGTCAATGCAAACTTGAAACAAGCTAGTTCCAAAATGAATACCATGACCTCTTATGCTTCAATTGTTACGTATAGCACAAGGTCCTGCTTTAATATCATTCACAGAAATATTTTCAGTAAACAAAAATTAAAAATAATATTTTAATACATGAATTATATGCATGAGAATGCCTTGATATCTGTCACTAAAATCCTATTTTAATCTTGTCACACCTTCTGTAGATACCAAAGTCTCAGCAAAAGAGCTCATGTTGAATTGGATGCAATCTCTTCTTCCAAACTCAAAAATTAGCAATTTCTCCTCAAACTGGAGAGACGGGAGAGCTCTCCTCTCTCTCATTCACGAGATCAAACCAGAGAAAGCACCTCCAGTCTCAAGTCTTGATCCTCGTAAAAACCTCAGCAACTGCACCCTTGCCATTCGAACGGCTAAAATCTACCTCAAAGTCCCTCCGATTATATCACCAGAAGATCTCGTGAGTGGAGAGATTGACGAGCTGAGCATGATGACGTACATCTCATACTTTGTAAAACCAGCCTCCAAAGCAGTTCTGAAGTGGGTCAATGAAGTACTGCCACAGATGAAAATCACTAACCTCACGACGGACTGGAACAATGGGATAGCACTCGCCGGGCTTTTGAACAACCTCTTCCCTGGTCTCTTTCCAAAATGGAAGTCCCTCTCGCCTGAAAAGGGAGAAGAGAATATCCAGAGAGTGTTTGACATAGCTAAAGCGAAGTGTGGGATTGAGCCTAACCTTAGTGCTAGAGAGATGACGGATCCTTCCATTGAGGAGCTTCACATGATGACATACATCCTAAGAATGAGGTCCTCAAACCTGCTCAGTCTGCCAGAGCACATTGATATATCTGGGCTCGGAATAAAAGAGGCCAAACTTGGACGACAGACACATTTCTTCATCAACACAACTCAGGCTGGCTCAGGGGATACTTTTGTCAGTGCTTTTTATGAGGACGAGACTGGGCTTAAATTCTCACAGGTGGAGAAAAGGCCGGGAATATTGAAAGTAATATACACGCCAGAGAAATCCGGCAAACTTCATTTCAACATCCTCTGGTCTGGGGTTCCAGTTCCAGGCAGTCCGTTCCTTGTATCAGTCTCGGATACAAATGCTGTGAGAGTATTGGAGAGAGAGGATATTGATACAACAATTCATGTACAGTCACCAGTTGTGATAAAAGTTGATGCAACCGCAATGGAGCATGGATCATTGACAGCACGTCTCATGTACACCGACTCTCCTCCTCTTATTCCTGAGGTGACCTCTGACAGTCGGATATACACTGTACAGTTCGTTCCAGTGACTGTTGGTATGCCCACACTCCGTTTCTATTGGGACAAGGAAGAATTAAAAAACTGCTCAATAGAATTTACAATATTGGACACCAGGCAGTATCACATTTCACACTTACCAAAGAAGAGTCAGTACTACACGTTTGACCCGATTCGCTTTGTTGTCGAATCGAGAGAAGGCCTTCCGCTCCATCCACTCAAAATGGTTGCCATTTGCGATGAGATTCACATCCCCTTCAAGTTCAACAGCATAAAAGGAACATCAGGCGAGGCCATGTTTGTC